CATGGAAATAAGAGGTGTTGACCTACAAACTCCCTTCAATAGTATTTAGAACCTAATCAAATATTCCATTTTATTAATCTCGTTCTTACTTCACCTACAATAATCCATCCTACCTGTCCTATATAGGACTGCATAGAAACTATAAGTCACGATGAATCGCACACCTCTAGAAACCATTAATTCCTATGTAACGATAAAATATACTCTTGTATTTGCTTAAACATGAAATGTACCACCCAACTAAATGTTCTAGAAAATTTGGATTTACTTAGTTATACCACACCCGCCCCTTAATCACATTTCTCAAAGCTGCCCAAAACATTTTATTGAATGTCCAGCTTTTCATGCTTTCTTTTAAGCAATTCATTTTTTTTTGTACTTGTGAATCATCTTTTTTTCGCAAATTGTAACCCCATTTCTAAAAACTTGTGTTGCTCTCTCATCTATTTCCATTATCATGAAAAAACTTCTTCCAAGCATGTTGCCCTTTTCTATTGATCTAGTTGCCCCTATCTTTGTTTCAAACACCTAGTAAGTTCTTCGTAAGCTACGATTTGACTCACTGATTTCTATGGGCCTACATACTTAAATTGCAATATGATTTATAAGAAACAACCAAGAAGAATGAACATTTTCTAATTCAAGTCCAACAAATGTTTTGCAGTTATTCCTTCTTTGAATGCAGGCCAAATGTATTTGATGTGTCATCAACTCAAGAAGAGAAAAAATGTGAACGGACAACACTCTCAGTGGGGTTTTTTGGGCACCATATCTTGTTCTTGCTCGTAAATGATACAAAATTCATCATGGGTTCTTTAGCACTCCGAACTTGCAAATTAGATTTTTTAGCTTTAAACTTGGGGTTTTTGATCTAGTTATTCAATGATTTCCTTGTTTTCTTAGCATTTCTATACTTCCGCTTCAAAGTGATACAAAGATTCAGAGGTTACGAATGGTGAGAAGTGGAGGATGTCGTTGGAGAAGATCATGGCAGAGGAGTACGTGGATCATTGCATAGAGGTGATGAATGTGAGGGGGGGAGGGGAGATGAGTTTGGCGTTCTATGAAAAGGAGAGCTAAAGAGGTTGGGGGTGAAAAGAAAATAATGGGAGAGAGATGAGGATGCTTGGGGGGGGGGGTGGGGGGGGGGGTGTGGGTGGTGGTGGTGGTGTGGGTTAGGATTAAGGTTAGGTTATAACTAATAGACTAGATTGGAAGAAGAAGATGGAGATAAGGACAATGGTGTCTTCTTTTTTTTTAATAAAAAATTGCAAAAAATTGGCTTTGATGCAATTTTTTTTTTGTACCCAACTCTCAAAATCCATGCGTACGAGAGACACCATTTCTGAATCTAACTGTTGGACTTTAGTCCAAAACCACATGGGAGGTGACATCTATATTTGAGCCACATTGTGGTAAAGTGCTATAGCCCTTAAACTACAAGGGGTAAAATGAATTTTGCCTCCATAACTATTGACCGATTTTGATTTATTATCTTGCAAGTCTTTGTTTCATGAGTTAATTGATGACCCTAATATTCCCATTTTTTATCCTCATAAAGCATGTGTGCCCCTCAAAGTTAAAGTGTTGGTATGGTCCTTGGATCGTAAAAAAGATTAATTCCAATGACTTGTTTAAGAGAAGGGGATCTAATTACTTTTTACTTCCACAATGCTGTATCTTGTGTATAATTGACAAAGAAAGCATTGACCATATTTTTAATGCATTGTCCTGTAGCCTTGTCATTGTCACACAAACTGCTTCATATGGTGGATTTGGATTGCATGGCTCTTCTGTCATTTATTCAGATGTTATTGATTGATTATAGGGGATTTGAGACCAATAAGAAAGCTCAAGTTCTTTGGGATTGTGCCATTTTTGCCATATTTGGGAGATTTGGTTGGACAGGAATGCAAGGATTTTCAACTAGAAATTTGTGGATTTAGAGGGGGATATGGGATATGTCATATCTCTTCTTTTTGGGTTTTGATTTCATTTCCTTTTAAAGGGATTTCACTTTTTTTAATTAGTAGGGATTGGATGGCGGTTTCTTATATGTAATAATTTGAGTTTTTTTTGTATTCTTGTCCTCCACTTTCTTTTATAAGCTTCTTCTTTACCTGAGGCCAGACCTAAGTTGAGAGTTGTGCTTTTTTGGAACAGGAAAGAGAATTCCGAGCCACCCATCCTAGTCAATAAAAAATTGTTTCATCGAAAAGCTAACTGCTAACAGAGTTGGTTGGTTTCTTAGAAGGAGACCTAGACCGAAGGATCTGATTTAGCTGGTTTCCGCCTAATAATTATCGGGATTGATTGCAAGTCTGGGATCTCCCAGAAAGTTTAATAAAATTTCTTCGTTGCCAATAAAAAAATGATAAAAAAAAAGTTCATATGTACTTTGGATCATTCAGATATTTTGTCATTTCATGTCTGCCATTCAGCTTGTTTTGTTTAATCACAGGATATCATAATGTAAGACATTCCTAATTTTCTAATTTCATTTATCCATTGGGGCTTTGTTGGCCATCCTGAGGCCCCAGGTTGTATGGCTTCCTACAGTTCTTTTCAGGACTGTCTGTTTAGAAACTGAGTATACGATTTCAGTTGGTATATATATGTTTGTATATTTTATACACAATTTGGTTGTAGTGAGCACCTGTTTAATTCTTTAAGTTGTCAAGTCGGCAATTTTAAATATAAGCAATTGATACATGAATTTCTCCTTGGCTAGATGTTAGTTTTATAATTACTTGTTAGTATCATTTCATGCTTGTAATCCATTCAAACCCATTTGGGTTCTGATGGACGTAAGAATTATTCAGCATCTTTATAATGCATTCTTTGCTGCTCTGCTTGGTCTTAGTTTAGGAACAGTTTCAGTATTGTGCTCAATTTATGATACGGATATTGCAGCTGTTACCTTGGTTCACCTGAGGGCATCTTTTTCTTTCTACATCATGTCAACATGATGAAAATCCCATTGGTCCATTATAGTAGTTACCATTTAAAGCCAATAGTATCATGTCATTTTGCTCCAATAAAATGATAACTCATTGCAAGAATGGATGCTTGAGATTTAGAACAAATTTCTTGATTTGGATATAACTTTGATGTGTATGTCCCTTCTCTGATAAGACAATATTTGTTGCAAGAAATGGAGCCTTAAGGATTAAGATAAGTTTCTTGACTTTATAATAACTTCGATGTAATAGTTCTAGATTTTCAGTCAACTTTTGCATGGTTGCTGGATTTCCAGTTGATAGAACTTTGTTTGGATAAAGGGTCAAAGCTCATTCAAAAGACTAATTTTGAATTATTCTTTCTCGACCTAAAGTATGAATGATGAGAATCTAATATACTATGTCCATATTGGAGATACTGAAGCACCCATAGCGTTCCAGTTAGAATACAAAACAAAGACACATTGTCTAGACTTTAAAGTTCCCTGATATTCTATATGAAAAGCTTTAATTGTGTTTCCAAGTTATTGTTAATTGTTACAGATCAAACAATAGGCCATGCATTTATAACTACTCTGTTCCTTTTGTTGGTGTCCATAGCATTCATGTGCTAATGTCGTTTAATAGATCTGTCAAAAATCTCTACGTCTTTTTCCTTATTTCTATTTTATCAGTATTTAAGTTTTGAACTCTAAACCAGTTTGCAGAAAGTGCATTTATGAGAAACTTTCAGACGAGGAGGTGGATTCCTGTCCTGTATGTAACATCGATTTGGGCTGCGTTCCAGTGGAGAAACTCAGGTATATATGATTCTCTCTCTCTCTCTCTCTTGTGCACACAGTTAGAGCTTGGCATTTTGGATGATTCTTGAGAACACATGTATTTGACAACTCTTTGGATATCTATGCACATATTTGGAACCTTGTCCAGCCAGTAGGATTTCCTACCAATGGCTTAGACTGAACTAAAGGAACTGTGAGCCTGTTTATCTTGTTTATTCATTAAACCTTTATTATATTGGCGGAAACATAATAAGCCAAAACTTATGAATGTCTAAGTTTCATTCAACCCATTCCCAAAATGCCATTAAAGGTTACACAACCATCTACACATACATTATTTAAAGATGAAGACACAACTTATGTCATATTCATCCATTTTATATACCAACTAAACTAGATCATACATGCCTCCATTTATATTTAAAATAGCAAAACCATGGTCTTCATTCGGCAAGCACAAAAGTATCTCTCGCACTACTTTTTCTCATTTAGCTTCATTTTCTAAAAACACATGGCAAAACGATGGCATGAGCTAGCGACTGTGTGTGTCTGTCTGTTTGGGCACTCATGCATGACTCTTTGTGTGTGTCTTTGGCTATTCTATGTATGTACTTCGCTCTATGTTGAGTGTAATTACATCCACTTTATTGTGCGCGGAAAATATGCAGGCCAGATCACAATTTGCAAGATATAAGGGCCAAAATCTTCCCTTTCAAAAGAAGAAAGGTTAAGACCCCTGAGCTTACACCTTCGGTTTCACTTCCAATTAAAAGGAAGGAGAGATCTTTATCATCGTTGGTTGTCAGCACTCCTAAAGTGTCAATTCAGACTGGATTGACTGGAAGGAGAACAAAATCTGTTCCTAGAAAGAGTGCTCCTAATCGAGGTTCCAGTATTTCCGTTGAGGAGCCAATTAAGAAAGAAGTTACCACCGAAGATTGCCCGGAGAGCTCAAGTGCACCTCATACTCTTAACAAAATTGTTCAAGATAAAAGGCAGGTAAAGAAAATTTGAAGCTGGGTTCTTCATGTTTATATGGCTGATATTTTAGACATGGTTTTGTTGCAAGCTATGTTTGTAGATAATTATGTCTTGAATATGATTGTCCATTCCTTCTTATAGATTTCATCTCCAACCAAGTCTTTCCATAATCAGATACCTAATAAAGTCAAGGAGAATGATGCTGAAGCATGGGAAGGGAATGTCGATTTATGGAAACCCTTGAATTGTCTTGTTGAAGCTGCAAACAGAACCAAGTCTTCTAAACTTGGTTCACAAGACTCATCACCTACCAAATCAGAACCCCTCAATGCTCTTGAAAATGACGTACATGTGCCTAAAACCAAGGTTAAGGAGCATCAACACAAATCAAAAGTTCAAGAAGACAAGAATGGAACACTCTCACTTCCAGTGCCGGTCAAACGAAGAAGGTTGCGTGTAGTTGACAAAAAAAATGCAGCTGGGAGGTTGTGTGCCTCAGCACAGGCTATGCTTGAAATGCCTGGAGCCAAACAGCACAGAAGAAAATGTCCAATTTGGTTCTCATTGGTTGCCTCAGAAGACCAGTAAGAATATCCTGTAGTGGTGAAAATAATGCAATTTTTTTTATTTTATTTTGGGATATTTCAAGTTTTGATCGGTAATCATTTTATCTATGTTAAATGGTTTCAGGGTAGGAGATGTTCCCTTGCCACAGATATCTGCATGTTACTTGAGGATAAAGTAAGTTTTCTGGTCCCATGACTAATCTGTAGCTTTGTCAGTGATATTTTTCCCAATTGGATAGTGTTATTTTTGTTTTCAAGTCTGTATCACAGGAACTTAGTATTTACATGTTTGTCAGGTCATTTTTGCATGTTCTTCTATGCAGACTTATGCTTGAGTAGTGTTTGAAAAGAGAAGTTTTCTTGTGGCCAAAAAATAGAAGAAAATGGCCATGGAAAAGCAATGAAAAATAAGTTTTTGAAATGTACTTATATTCAATAAGATTTCGTATATCTATTCTGTAGATAACTTACAGGTGTGGAACACTTTATTGAGCATCAAGTGGCTTGGATTCAATACCTAAAGTACTCGCTTTTTCACTTCCAGAACTCCATTAAAAAAATTAGGAGCCACTTGATTTTTTTATTTTTGTTACCAAAAATAGTAAGGAATTGTATATCATATCAAATACTTTGTAAAATTAATTTATTGACAAATTGTGCCAAAAATATATTCTTGTCACTGACTTAAGTTATCTAATGAAAAGAGGAATATATTGAGGAAGGGCCTAAGGACGTATACATGGTAGCGGAGATTAGGTTGAGCATCTGATTTTGAAACCTAAGTAGGATACAACTCTTGGGGAGAGTAAGAGAGGGGAGGATATTAGGCCAATGCGGTCAGGCTACATTGGACTGGGCCAATAATCATCTGGGTAAGATAGTCATAAGGTGTGAGTCGAGGCAGTTCTCTTGGGCCGAGAAAGGTAAATGGTCCATGCGTGAAAATAAGTGACCAAAAATTTAAACCCTAAATAAATGTTCCAATCCAGATGATATAAAATTTCAGGAAGTGGGTTTTCAAGGGTGGGCTGTTCCTTAGATAGTGTAAATAAGATTTTAATGTAACATGGTCTTCATAAATTGTGACCTTGGTTATGAAGTTGGCAATGGACATCTATGGGCATATTCCTCTTCTCAATGTCAAATAACTTATTTAACTTGTTTGTGTTTTTCCTTTCTCACAGGAATGGTAATTTGCCTGTCTCATTTATCCAGAAGTACCTCGTGAAGAAACTTGATCTTACAAGTGAAGCTGAGGTGAGTCTATTCAGCTTTCTTTTCCACAATAAATAGGCTAGTAGTTTTGTTAAGGAATTAAGATGCGCATCTCTTCAACATGTAAGGTATGGAAATGTATTCTTATTTTAGCACATATTTGTAGTTTTCTTGATTTTTTCTTATTTGTTAAGCAATAAATTGGACAAATTTGATAATAAAATTGTAACAATCATATTTCATCTTTTTTCTTGTCCTAGGCTTTTGCTGGAGAGAAAATCATGTGAATTCCTTTTTCTTTTCTTTTTTTCTTTCTTCTTTCTTTCATTTTGTAATATATTTACTTCATTTCATATTATAGGTGCCAGGGTTCTTTCTGATTTGTTTTGAAGTCTATCCAGCCTGAGTGAACACAAGACTAAACAACCACTAGACCTTGTTTGAATTTTGAACCTGGAACTATACTGCAAAATGCTACTGCATTTTTTTTTTCCCTTTCCTTTTATTTTCTCTCTTTCCTTTTTTTGGTGTTATCCAAACCAAAACCATTGTTTACTGAACTGAAGGATCCAACGTGGTTTCTTTTCTTGATCTTGTTCCTTTAGGTTGTCACTGTGGTGAGTTATTTTAGAACTAAAAACAAATTTTAATTAACGAGTGATGCTGATTGAACATGTAATATTTGATATTGATATGGATTATTGAAAGATTTATCATGCAGTGAGTAGGAGCATTCTTCCATCATGTAAGAAAAGGATTTATAGTGGGCATGAGGGGCAAATAGAGAAGTGTTAAGGGATGCTTTCATCCCATGGTACAAATTTACGATGTTTCTTCATCTTAGGGAGCTTCTTCTTTGGAATTCACATATCTCAAATCTCAAACGTTGAAGCTGATCTATTAGCTAAACAAGGACTCTCTCTCTCCATGGGGAAGGAGCTAGTATCATGGCACTCCATGTTTTTCCTCCTTTTCCCCTTTTGCTATATTTGCTTGCTTTGCAGGTAATCTTTATTTACTTCGTTATCTTCAGATTTATGGGCAATCGTTGTCATTTATCATCAAGAATAATTAACAGGTGCAAATATCACAGTATTGGGTGGTTCTTCTAAAGCTTTTTATCTGTTAGGCTTCAACTTAAAACAATTAAGGGAAAGTAACAAGGATGAGACATCTAAACAGTTGTTTATTTGTAAGAACTATAAAGGCCATTCCTCTTGGGTTGTGTTATGGATCACATTGAAGTCGTGGTTCTTCACCGCATTGTGCTTGGACCATCATCAATAAATGGGTGGTAGTTTCTTGCCGAGCATCCCAGCTTTTGCAAGCCCAGGTGATGCTGATAGTGCGCACATTAAGTTTGGCATGGAGATTTAATTTATTGTATAATTTATGTTTTAATATTTATATTTAATTATTTTAAACTATAATTTAATTATAAGTCTTATTGGGAGTCTTTGGTTTCCAATTTTATTAGGATTTAGTATCTTATTTTAATTAGGGTTAATGTCCGATAAATATTAGGTTTTGCTTTTCATTATTGATATTTGGATTCATAAAACTGAGTGTCAAGTCTGTGGCCTTATGACTAGGGCTGTAACCCTAGCGTTCTTCCTCTCATCCTGTTCTCTCTTCTTTCTCCTACTGCATTCTACATCACTGGACCACCTGTTTATCTTCCAATTAGAAGCATAATTCAACAAAAAGTTGAAACCTATGCATACACTGTTCTTGTTGACAAAGTAGCAATTGTTATTCAACAATCCTAAAGTAAATGCTTGGTCTCCAAGTTAAATTTTATGTTTAAAAAAATGTCGTAATGTTTCATTGCGCTGCTTCTTATATTTCATGTCTTACATTACAGGTGGAGATAATGTGCCAGGGTCAACCGGTGCTTCCAACTCTGCAATTACAGAACTTGGTAGATTTGTGGTTAAAGACAGCATCAGCATCAAAGAGAATACCGACCTCTGTCGGCAGCTCAGCCAAGGACTTTGTGATGGTCCTGTCTTATTCGCGAAGGGTCCAACCCCCATAAAATAGTACTATTTCATTCTTCTTCATCTCTTACCATCCCCTTTGTCAATAACTTCATATCCCTTCTTTGATCTTTAAGAGCTATACATACACATTGGCAGTCTGATGCATTTTCGGCGTGATTTTATGTATGCATATTTATTATTATTATTTATTTTTTTCTTTGCGGCATTTGTTATTCACATTATGGGAATTTTGTAATAATTGGTTGTCTTTTTATTAAAGGGCGGCTTGGCCCAACGATAAAGTTTGTTGTGAGCTTTTTTGGTGACACAGAGGCTTGTATGCACATTTATTTCTTTTATGACATTTGTTATTCACATTATGGGAATTTCGTAATTAGTATGTTTGTATTAAAGGTTGAATTGGCATTAATGATGATACGGGTTTGAGTCACAAAAACAGTCCTGTTGATGAAATATTTTGTACATCTTGCCCTCTGTAAATTCTATTTTAGTGGGAGTCTCATGTGAGGAGTTGCTCGCCTTTTTTTTTTCAATAACGAATTTGCATTATGAAGTATCCAAATAATCCTTGTCTGAGTTGCTTCCAAATTGAGGCTTGGTAGAGTATGTGGAATAGATATAGATTGACAGTGTTACAAGAGTGAAGTATGAAGTTTGGCTTGAAATTTCATGCTTAGTCTTTTGTCTCTTTTTCCTAAAATTAGTTAAAAACTACACTTTGCTCTCTTCACATTATTCTTTTGAGCAAAGTGGAAATGATTAAAATTAAAGAAGGTTTAAGAAAAATGAATTTGAATTTGCTAAATTCAGTGGTGAAAATTTTTAGCTGTTGGTATGAAATTGAGAGGTTTAGATTGTGTGAAGTCAAAAAATACTCTCCCTCTATTTGCTGAATTTGGGATTGCAACTTTGCAAGAGTTGCTTGTGGTTTTTATTTATTTATTATTTAAAAAAGAAATTATGCTAGAGTATTTGATGCAAATAAGTTTAAAAAATTAATCATTAAGAAGATAAAAGAAGAATGTTTTAATTTTTATTTTCTTATTATTAACTTTTTAATTTGTAGGAAACTGACCGTCTAAGTTGCAAAAATAACTCTTCCAATACAATCTATGAGAGCAATTTGTCAAACAAATATTTTGAATGTTTTAATTTTTATTTTCTTATTATTAACTTTTTAATTTGTAGGAAACTCACCATCAAAGTTGCAAAAATTATTCTTCCAATAAAATCTATGAAAGCAATTTGTCATTTTTTAAGAACTAGGCTTACATCCAACCCATGATCTAAAATAGAGTGTTATTTGAATTCATAGGATTCATCATAGATCCCGTTTCAAAAATCTAAACAATTATAAAATTGATTTAATTTTTTTTAAGACAATATACACGAAAACTTTTACAAAATATATGGTTTAGATTCACATGAGTCCGGACAAATCATTTTTTAATTGGTTTTCCTTGTTTTTTTTTTAAAAAACACAAACTAATTTTCAACTGCACCCAAAATTCTAGGAGAATTTACAAATCAGTATTTTCTTTCTAAAATAATTACTAACTCATGAAAAAATATATGATTTCAATTATTAAAATTTATTACCAATTTGAATTTTTTTTTTATAAATATATACTGAATTGTTAATTCAAACGGCTGGGTATGACCCGAATTAAAAAAACGCTTTGTACTCACCCGACCCGACATGGTCCAAATCTGTGTTGTTAGGGTCGGGTGAGGTGGATACCCGTATGAACGGGTTAGCTTATTGTGATCCGTTCCCTTACTCGATTGCTCAAACTAACCTAATGAACTGTACAATAAGGAACCTGATACAACTCAAACCCTTTAATTCTCTCTCTTCCCTTTCCCGAGTTCCAGTACTCGGTGCAGCTTCTCTGTGTGCGCGTACGGTGTTGTCTGTGCAGTGAGCTCCGAAGTTAGGGTTTTCACTCTCTCTCTCTCTCTGATCACCTTCTTGAATCAAACATGCAACAGGTAAGTAAAGCAAAAACTCAATCAAAATCTTCTTTTTTTCTTGTATGTGTGTTTGATTTGCAATTTTGGGGTCTGATAATCAAACACGATTTGATTGGGAAAAGGGTGGGGGTTCAGAGACGGAGGTGACATGGGAGGATCAACAGAACATCAACAAATTTGGTAGATTAAACAACCGATTTCACGAACTCGAGGATGAGATCAAGATCGCTAAGGTAACTACACATTTCACACATTGTATGACTTGTCACTTTGTTTGATTTTTCAGTTGTTATGTTGTTTTAGATTTGAGATTGTGTTTTCATTATTGTTGTTGCAGAATCTGAGATGGGTTTTATTCAAAATTAAGGAATTCAGCCTAATGTGTCTTCATTTGATAGGTATTGTTTGTTAGAAAGAACAAAGAAAAAGGAAATGCTTAGGAATAATTAAAATATGAATGGCGAGTTACTCTCTGTAAGAGTAAAAAGACTATTAGAATCTCTTCCAAAAGTGGAACAAATATGGAAGAGAAGACTGGATATGATATTGTTAACCCAAAAATTCAATCAAATGGGTGTCCATTTTTAGGAGACAAGAAATGAAAGCCTCATATAAGCAATCAGATTATCTATTTTGGTTTTTTATTTTTTTATTTTATTTTATTTTTTCTTTGTGTGTGAGGGAATGCATACTGGTCTGGTAATAACTAGGATTTTGGCTGATTTTCCATGACCCTTAATGGCTGACATGGTGACCATATTTTGAAGTTGGTCCAAATTTTATAACCATACCATCTTAAAATTGAGGCAACTGACAGACATGTCAGCCCTCTTAGCACCCATCCCACTGTTTCCACTATTATGACCTCAAACTACTCTCCAGTTAATTCCTCTGAAGGGATTTGATAATCTCCATTCTGAAACTGAGTGAGCAAAACTTCCATTGCTCATCTTTTGATCGCCCTAGGAATTTTTCGGACAATGTCAAATTTTTCCAAAGAAAGGAGCCATAGGGTTGTACGAGCAATTAATTCAGGTTTGGTGAGTAAATAACAAGCATGAGCGCACTTTGTCATTGCATACAGAGGATAGGCCCAGAGGTAGTGTCTTAGCTTTTGAGCGACAAACAACAATGCTAAACATGTCTTTTAATGGTAGAATACTCTCCTTTGTGCCTTGAATAGTGTGACTAAGACTAATATAATATATTCAGGGCACTCTTGAGCAAAAAGTGTTCCAATATATCATGGAGTAGAAGCGGGATATAAGGGTCTCTTTTGGTTGAGTCAACAAGGCATTTCATGCATTTTCTGGGAAGATGGATTACTGCTCTTGGAGTGGAGTTAAGCCCTTGTATAAATATATGGTTCCTTTAGTGGAGTTGAAAAATGCAAGTTATTCTTCACAGAACTAGCCTCTCTACTAAGGACAACCTAGACAAAGTAGCATATGACCATTATTTGAAATCTTGATCTCTGATGATAGCTACAAGGGGGGAAAAACAGCTTGCTATTACAAGTTTTTTGTTAATTTTTTTTCTTCATTTATTGCTTTTGTGATTCTTAGGCCTCATTTGGGAACAGGCTTTTTTAAGTAACTTTTTGGCTTTTTGGCTAAAATGTCATATAAAAACAACTAGTATGTTTGGGATGACTTTTTGGCTTTTTACGAAAAGATGTGCAAAAAGTAGAGAGAAAATAGAATCTTTGGCTTTTTGGTATGGGTTGTTGGCTTTTTGGTTTTTTTAGTAACTTTTTGGCTTTTTGGCTAAACCGGTCGCTTCCCAAACAAGGCCTTAGCATGATATTTATATCTGTATGATTCAAATATTATTTTTCTACGTGTACAATTGAAGCTCCTCCTTTCATGCTTTTCAGAATTGACTCTCTCAAGTTTTCCTTCAATGCTCTGGTTACTTTGGCTGTCCACCTCTTGTATTCTTAATTGGCATTAAGAAGATACAATGAAAGAGAGACATATTATCAATATTACCATGGAATCTTTTTTTGCCCTTCTGCATTGCTCTTTCACCAAGTCCAAAGTGTGTTTGTAGGTGTTAGATGGGTATATGATCCCAATTGATTTGTCAATAATCTTTTGGTTTTCAGTGCACAAACCCAAAACCATATTCACCAGTTCGGCATATTACCCTTGTAAGTTCTAAATTAAAAGTATAAACACGGGGCATCTAATACTATGCCATTTACTAGAACATATATTTGACATTCTCCACGGGAGTGCCGGTTGTGAAATAAGGAAAAAACTGAGCAAGGCGGACCCTTTGATGTAAAAATACTGAACATGCATCATATGTGTGTTAATGTGGACAAGTATGAAATATTTCCTCAAGGGGAGTCCAGCATTTGAGAATGAAACTTTTAGTTATAGTGATCTCTATTCAAAGTCAGCATTTTTGAGTTATTTCAGCTGTATACTTTGCCATAGTCCCATACATGTGTTCAAAATTGAAAATGCCTTACACCAACTTCTGGATTCTGCTACAAACTATCCGGTCCTGTTGATCTAGTACGTCTTTGGTGTGACCTTCAATCTTGTAGTCCTCCACTGGAACCAGTTATGTCTTTGATCTTCATTGCAAATGAAATAAGGGTTGGGTCAGTTTTTGTGCTACACCAATATGGGAGGGAATCTTGTCTGTAAAAGATGTCACTGAATCTATTGAATATGTTTTTGTTTTGGGTCATCTTTTTACCTCCGTAATCTTCATATGGGTGCAGCATGTATGCATATTTGAGTTGTGCCAGGCTTTTTCTCGACTGCTGTCTCATATGATTTAATGCATCACTTTTCCTATTCTTCTCTCTCTTTTTCTGACAGGAAACGAATGAGAATCTCGAGGATGCAAGCAACGAATTGATTCTCACTGACGAGGAAGTGGTCCGTTTCCAGATAGGGGAGGTTTTCGCTCACGTGCCTAGGGAAGAAGTGGAGAACAGAATAGAGCAGATGAAAGAGGTAACTAGCAAGAACTTGGAGAAGCTGGAAGAAGAGAAGGACTCTGTACTTGCTCAGATGACTGAGTTGAAGAAGATTCTGTATGGAAAGTTCAAGGATTCAATCAATCTAGAGGAGGATTAAGTTTGTCAAAATGAATCATGCTTGTTTTTATGGTTACTTGGTGAGGATTAAGTTTGTCAAAATTGGTGACTTGGGACAGTTTTTGAAGCTTTCATGTAAAAAACGTGGAATTTTTATGGGGTTTCTCAGTTTCTGGGACTTGATCCCGGGCTGGTGACATGGCTTGATCCAAAGGTCATATGCTTTTACCACTGCGCCAGTTATGTTAATCAAAATGTGCATTTTGGCATCATAACATATATGATAGTGTAGTTTGTGTTGCGTATTATTGACATTAGAACATTATTCACTTGAAAAGATATGCTTATATGTCCCATTGAACTTTTTTAAGTTCTAGATCCGATTTTAATGCCTGTTTGGAGAGAGACAAAATAAAAGAAGAGAAAAGGGAGGAAAGACTGGTGAAAAGTAAATAATTCTTCCGTCTTACTTGGTTGGAAAGTGAAGTGAAAGGAAATTTAGGGCTAAAATTAGCAAATAGAGGTTGCTCTTTAGACTCCATTCACTCTCTACAGCGTTTGGAGTCAACTTAAAATTTGGCCTTCTGGTGTATCAGTAAGGGTTGTTTGGAATAATTTAAATAAGTGTATTTTTTAACTTTTTATGAAATATGAGTTAAGTTTGAGTTGAGTTTGAACTGATGTGTTAGAGAGATAATATGACTTAAATCGGATAGTGATTTTTTGGCTTTTTTCAAATATGTCAAACCAACCCTTAACTTCAATCATGTGGAAAAAATGAGAAATCAAACCATCAATGCAATATATTCCCCTCGGTACCTAGACTACCTTCCTCAACCTTTTCTGCTGTAATTCTATCTTCAGTGTTGCTGCACATTCAATTCTGTCAGTGTACAGTTCGAGGGAATGAGTAAGATCATGATCATGATCAATCGCGATGCAATTGCAAACTAGTGGGTTCTTACTAAATTGGTCATGAGCCAAAATTTTGCCAATCTAGATGCTGCTATAATGGTCCAATACCGTGGGCTCATGATCATCACTTTTTTTACATGTTAATGTTCTTAACAAATTCTGTCTTTGAATATGAAATTGAAATTACAACACCAATTGGTGAAAGGGGAATGTAACTCACATTGATGCCACCAGAAAATAGAATGGAATTGCTCAGATACACTTTAAAATAATAATAATAATAATCCAAAAGTGCCAAAAGCTCCAGATGTGTGTCATTCATTGCAGAAATAATGCCCTAGAAAAACATGTGCACTACACCAAAAACACAACAAAAACACAAGGCCTCCAGTGTATTTGGTTGCATTCACAACCTGTATAACCCTCTTTTTTTTCTTTTTCTTTTTCTTTTTCAATTTTATATTAAAATCATAGCCAAAAAAGGCTGTGGAAATATTTGCCAACAACCTGAAAAGACACTTGGAAAAGAACCAACTTCTTCCAACTATACTAGTATATACAAGGTTAATTGACAAAGACAATATAATCAGAGGGAAATGCTATGGTCCGAAGAATGTTCTCCCAAATTTTGCAGAGGAAGCAATATGTGAATCAGAAACATAGTATAGCTGAGCTCACTAAAGGTTTGTTATCAGTAAAGAATACCCAGCTTGCATCAAAGCGGCTTGGATAATAGATATATATATCAACCCAAATCATCCATGACTACCAATCAGCAAACTAAAATGAAAGACAGAGCAACATGCAATCTTACAACTACGCTACAGAGTTCCTTAGTTACGCTTCATACAAAAGAACATTGTCATATTTCGGACGATCAAAAATATGCTATGTCTATCATGGTTCACTTAGGAGAAATTGCAGCCCAACAAATGTCATTTCACCTATTCCATAGTCACAGCCCTTTCATCATGATCTCCTACCCCAAAATATCATGTATTTTTCCTTGAATAACACCAGCCAAAAAGAGTAACTAAACAAAAAACACTGGAAAGTAGGAAAAATACAGTGCGGGAAGGGGGAACAAGAAAAGAGAACAAAAGACAAACAAAAAGTAAAACGTATAAAAATCAATAGCTTGTTTTTATTGAATTCTCTATGACATGTCACAAAAAACATATCTGTCACAATCTCAATTCATATTCTTGCATAAGTGATCAAATACAACAATAATAACTAGACAAAACCAACTTAAATAATAATAATAGACAAATCCTTATGAAAGTTAAATCATCACAATAGCAGCACCACCACCATAGACCTATGTTTTGCAATCGTTACCAGGAGATGTAAACAGCTAATAAGCAAAAGAGCACAGATTCCTTTTATTATAATTTTCTTCTTCTTCTTCTTCAACCACCACCACCACCACCACCACGATAGTCCTATGTTTTGCAGTAAACAGCTAATTGGCTACCAAGAGATGTCAACTAATTGGCAAAAGAGGATCGATAGAGCTCTCTCTCTCTCTCTCTCTAGAAAGCGTAATGAGTATATAATTGGACAAAAATGCACTTTTGCTATTCTCATAAGTGATTGAATGCAATCTTCCAGTATTATTCTAGGAACGTATACTAACATTTGCTATCTCAAAATTACTTTTCCAATTATTTTTGTTTGGCGAATGATACCTGCACCAAGGAAAAGCATATTGCGGAAGCTATGACCTCTGTCTCTCAAGCTCCAACAATCTCTATGCTATCTCAAAATTATATAACATGTTTTGCTGAATGAAGAATCCATGAGACAGCCACATATTTAAAATTGCCAACAAATCCATGTTTTCTTTCCATGGGGAGTATAAAGTAATGTGGATACAACCATATTCATTTTGCTTGTCATAAAAAGGTATCCAAATTCAATTTAGGTCAAGAAACAATGTATTAAATGGTTATACTTAAATTAAGAAAAGGAACTGTGTAACTAATCTGAGCAGCCACAAACAGGATAAAGACGTAGTACCTTCTTGCTTTACAGGATTAGTAGCATAAGGTTCGACAATGACTCTTACATTACTAGTAGCATAAGACAAGAATTTCACTAGTAAATTAACCTCTAATACAATTCAGTCAAGCAATTTGACAAGGCAGTACATACCATTTTCATTAACATATAACATAAACAAACAAACAAACAAACAAACTTGTTATAACACTTCTCAAGACTATGTAAGTGCAAAAGGCCTCAGGAAAAAAAAAAAAAAAAAACATAGGTCACCTGCCAAAATACAAACTTGTAGCCAATTTAATCAAAAATCAATAAACAACCAAATTCCATTGAAATAATTATAACACTTGCTACACACAAAAAATGAGAAAACCCAAATTACCCATTTTGGATTAGAATTCTGAGGACCCAAAATTGCCAACAATGAAACCAATTCCATCACCATAAATATATTCAACCACGAGTATAAGTCGGCCGCATTGGCCGATCGCCGCCAACAACCGACAGCAAACCGCCCTCAGCCACCTCCTGCTCATTCAAAAACAAATCCTCTGTAAGCCTAAACGCCGCATGCAAGCCAACAATCAAAACCCCAATTATCAGCGAAACCAACACATTCAAACCCACATTAGTAAAAACCAGAGCAATTACAGTGACCAAACTGAGCACAACAAGAACAACCCGATCATCAATTGTGCGATTAAACAACATAATTGGGTGATCACGCAAGAAGTAGAGATACAACCAACCCACGAACAAAGCCAAGAACACGATCATCGAAACGGGATGGTATATGAGGCTGACGAACACTATGATCAGCATCACCAAAGTGTAGTTGACTCGGAAGTAGTAGAGATTTTTTTTGATTCGAGACATGGACTCGGCGTAACTGTAGGGTCGAGAGAAGGAGGAGAAGTCGAAGAGCTCTTTCCATGGGCGGCGCGTGGCCATTAGGGATTGAGTCTGGGCTTTGGCGCGAGAGATGAAGGTTGACGGTGGTGGTGGTGGTGGCGGCGGCGGCGGAAGCGGCGGCCGTCTGCTGCTGGTGGCGGTGGTGGGGGACGTTCCATAACTAGATGGTGATTTGTTTGACATTTTGGATCCACAAACAACACAGATCAACTAGATTCAGAGAGAGAGAGAGAGAGAGAAACCCTAACCCTAGAGGGGCTCTGTGGGTGGTGGGTTTCTCTCTGATAACAGCGGTGGGAGGAGGCAGGAGGGAACGGAGGCCAGGCTGGGAATTAAAGGTTATGTTTGGTTTGTGTTTGAGAGATGTGTTTTAGAGATAAAAAGTACGAAAACATGTTTGGTTTAGTTTTTTTTAAAAGATGTTTTGGAAAATTATTTTGAGATAGAGTTTTGGAAAAAGTGATTGATTTGATATGTGAGAGAGAGAGATTTGTTTGGAAAACTTGTTTGGTTTACAAGTTTTGAGAAATTTTTTTGGGAAAATTTGTTTGGTTTGATTATTTTTGAAAACTTATTTGTAGAGAAAATTTCCCAAAATTTTTTCAGAAAATCAAACCAAACGAGCCCAAAAAGTTTTCATTGGTTTCAGTTTTAAGAATTTATTATTATTTTTTTTATTTTAACTAAATTTTTTTAATATTTTAAGTAATTTTTTAAAATAAAGCTACATAACATAAACATACGTATAATATTTATGAAAAAAATTTTACTAAATGTCAAAAATAAAATAAAATAAAATAAAGAATGATTTAGTATATTTTTTATATTTTTATATATTTATTAGTTTTTTAAAATTATTTTTCACAAATATTTTACTATTTATCTTAAAAAGTGAAAAAAATTGTTTAAAATTTTAAAAATATTTATTGAAAATAAAAAATATGAAAAAAAATTTTTCAATTTTTAAAAAATTGAATTTAAAAAACTGTATTTTTATGTATTTCTTAATTTTTTAAAATATTTTTTCACATTTTTTTTTTTACTTTTTAGATACATCTAAGTAAGGTACATCTAAAAAAGTAAAAAAAAATGTTTAAAATTTAAAAAATATTCACTAAAAACAAAAAAACACGAAAATCAAAAAATTTAATTTTCAAAAAATTTAATCCAGAAAACTCAAACTAAACACACTGACTAGTGTTCTACCCATGCTATGCACGAGTTGTGTTTACAATTATTTGTATATATATGTGAATTGCGATTTTTAAATTTTTTTTTTTTCACATAGAAAAAGGAATATAACAAATGCAGCATATCTTTAATCAAATATTTTATGTTTGCTTTTATTCAAAATTTAAAATTTTTAAAATAATGTACGGACAAAATTTATAACTAAATTAAGAAAAATTTATTCCTAACAATATTTTTTTTACTTCTATATAAATATTTAAAAAAATAAACTTGAAAATTTGTTTACAATTATTTGTATATATATGTGAATTGTTATTTTTAAATGCTTTTTTTTTGGCACACAGAAAAAAGAATATAACAAATGCAGTATATCTTCAATCAATTATTTTATGTTTGCTTTTATTCAAAATTTAAAAATAAGACAAAATTTATAACTAAATTAAGAAAAAATTTATTCCTAACGACATTTTTTTACTTCTATATAAATACTTTAAAAAAAAAAACTGAAAAAGGTAGTCAATATAAATATTATACATTAAGTAAAAAAATGTGATTAGCAATTATGTTTACATAAATTTGTTATAGTTTTAATTTCAAAGTTTAAATATATATATATATATTAAAAACATTTTATTTACGTAGTATCAAATAGAATTTTCTTAACAAAAAGGAAAGTCATAAAATTTTGTTGTAAATTTACAAATGTCTATTGTTGGAAACGGGGATACTATTGTGCCTTAAGCACAACAGTTATTGTTGTGCTCTTTGTGGGAGATCGTCCCGAATGTTTTTCGATAATCTGAACCGTTCATATTGTAAGATTCGTTTAGAATATTATTCATGTAAAAAAATCAAATTAATTGGATATTCATAACCCTATGATTAGGTCCTAATTGTTTTTAAAAATTAATGAAAGTTATGTTAATCGTTAATTTTAAAAAAACAAATGTACTTTGTTTATAAGGTTACAGACATCCAATCGACTTGATTTTCTGTATGGATGATTTAGTCGACGAACCCTACAATATGAACAATTCAGATTATCGAAAAACACTGGGGACGACCTTTCACAAATAGCACAACAGTAACTGTTGTGCCTTAGGCATAACAATATCCCCTTTTTCTCATTGTTAAACATTCTATTCTACTTACTTGTTTGTTTGCTTGCTTATTTTGGGAGTTTTGATATTTGATTTTTGCTCCACATTTATGGTATTGTTTTATTTATTTTTCTTCTTCTTACTTGATTTTTATATGATATTTCTTTCATAATACATCTTCGAGTGTATCAGTGAAAATATCCTACACTTAAAATGCATAAAATTACAATATATAGAAAAAAAAAAAAGAGTAAGTAATTGCCCAAAACTAAAAAAACTTTAAGAAAAATGAAAAATAAAAACAAAAATGAAATTGTTTGAAATAAAAAATGATTTATTTATTTATCAATTAATTTTTAAAAATAAACTTTTAAAGAAAACAAATAAAACTATATTAAAAAAAAGAGTACAGAAACCAAACATAAAATACAAAATGTAAATGAATTATAAGATTTTCAAGAAGTGAGACTCGCAAATAAATTTTGTAAAATATTGTCTATTCATATACTTTTTGTGTATATTTTTTATACTTCTAATCTCGAAAATGACATTGAAATAAATTGCACTTCTTGCATTAGGTCCATCTAATAGCTTTACCAAATACAAATGTAATAAATTTCATAACACAAAACACAAGCAATTGTGAGACAAAGTATCTAAAAAAAAAATGAAATCAATGTTCATTGATAATGTGGAAGCACACCTGACATTTTAATTGAAAGTATAACCAGATAAATCGTCATAGAAGAGGAAAACAACCTTTATTTTTCATCACAACAATTACATAACTCAATATATAATTTTAATGTCTCTCACCCTTCCACACGTTCAATTCTCTATCAATATTAGAATGAATGTATAAACCAAAAAAGGAAATATTGAGAAGACAAACAGATGTGGTTTGAGACCTTGCCATTGTTAAATTCTATTAATTAATAGTTATTAGGTTTCAATGGTTGGATTTCTAATATTTGTTAGAGCATCTCCAACGCAAGAGCCAAAAGGGGAGAATTAGGCATTTTGCCTATTGAAGTTGGATTTCGAAGCTCCAATGCGCTCTGCATCTGAGGAGGCATTTTGCCAATTCTCGTTTTGGCTCTCCACAAGTAGCCAGCGTCCATTGCTAGGCAGAGCACTCTTCCCGCCATTGTGTTGGCCTCCATCGCTGCAAGCAACATCTCTGTTCTAGCCCATTGATGATCACAGGTATGGCTCTCTTTCTCTTTCTCTTTCTCCACTTCCCTGTTCTTCCCCATCATCTATCTCCAAAGGAATACATGATTTAGGGCAATCCATTTGCAAAAATTGGGTTTGTGTACTGAAATTAGTGCCTTTTTCATAGAAATTTAGTTTTTTTTTTTTTTTTTTCATATTAGGACTTCTCTTTGTTCATGGAAACTTGATTTTATTCTTTCATGGAACTTGGTTAGGTGGATGAGGTAGATTTTCGAAATGCACTAGAGGTGTTCGAAGAAAAGACAGATTAGAATTTGGGTTCTCAAAATATTGTCATATTAGGATTTTTCATTTATTGTTAATGGAGAGTATGAAATTGATTCAATATGAGTAGTAGTCATGTTTCAACAAAGCCATGTGGTGCCCTGCCCATATCATTGTCCTTTGAAGTCTTTCCATAAATACATAAACCAAACAAAATTCAAACCAAAACATATAACCCCATATATATATAAACACCTCTGCAAACCTTCCAACCACCATTGCACCCCACTACCCACCCACCACATATCTGCAAATCTCTCTTAACAATAAGCTGAGCAGATACAAAAAGAACCCAAAAAAATTATAAAAAATGGGCTATCAAACTCAGATCTCTACACCCAATAGATAATCTCTGCCTTCACCTAACTTGCACATCATTTGGCTTTGCCTCAAACCCAGAAGAGAAGAGAAGAGAAAGATAGAGAAACAGAACTCTTGTTAATAAGGGTTGCTAATTTTTCATTTATTGTTAATGGAGAGTATGAAATTGATGTAGCTCTTGTAATTCTATCAACTGTAACATATCATCACACTTCTGCAATTGTTGTAGCTCTCACCTTAGGTAGCTTTCACCTGGGCGAAAAGAAGCATATTTTCACTTTTGGGTTTTACCATAATTTGTTGGAAGCTGAGTTTTGCTATTGTAGTTTATGTCTAACAGTAAACCCATGTGATGCATGAGTTGAGAAATTAGTAAACCTGGGCAAAATTATTTCTTGAAAAAATTAAACACTTTTCTGCATAAGAAGGTAAGAAATTAGTTTTAGTAGATTGTAAAATTTGGAATTATAAATTAATGAACAATTAGAACATTTTAATTTGTTAGTGCATCACTTTCTATGCATTATGAATCAGATTTGTTCCAATTGTATTATGTCCACCATTCTATGCAATATTCAAAACAGATTTCACAAATTTGTATGCAATATTCGCTTTCTATGAATCAAATTTCAGAGATTTCTATGAATCAAATTTTTAGTGCATCACTTTCTATGCAATATTCAAAACAAATTTCAGAGATTTCAAAGTGTATTATGTCCACCATTCCCTAATTCATTATTTTTGGAATTAGGCCATGAATTGATAACTTTTTTTTTTTTTTCTTTTTGTGTGGTATGAACAATTGTGCTTTAGATGGAATATCAAGGAAATGCATATTTTAGCGACCTAATGAACAACGAGTTTGATCTTGACCATGATTTTACCACCGAGTCTCCTCAACAAGAGAGTCAATGTTTATCATTCTCTCCTGAAATCATTACTCAAACTACAAAGATATCACAACGCAAAGGGAACTTCACCGTAGAGGAAGACATGATGCTCATATCTTCATGGCTTAATATTAGCTTAGATCCAATTAGAGGAAATGAGCAAAAGTCAAAGGCATATTGGTTAAGAGTGTAGGAGAACTTCAACAAGTACAAAACCTTCGATTCTGAAAGAACTCAAACTTCTCTAATGAATCGGTGGTCGACGATTCAACTTGCCACAAATAAATTTTGTGGATGTTTTTCTCAAGTTGAACGGTTGAATCGAAGTGGTTCGACTGAAAATGACAAGGTATTACTAGAATTTAATTTTGTACCTATAATGAATATATATCATTCGTTATGTGATAGTGACTATTCTTTAATCTATTTTTCAGATTCGGGATGCGAAAAAATTGTACAAAGACTTGTATCATTCGAACTTTCCTTTTGAGCATTGTTGGAATGAGTTGAGATCCCAACCAAAATGGATGGAAGATACAACAACAAAGAAGCAAAAAAGCACAAAAAATGCATCTCCGGCAACGTCTACCCCTTGTACACCAGATTCAGTGAACTTAGAGAACAATGATAACTATGATGTTGTGGAAAGACCAATAGGAAGGAAGGCCGCAAAGAAAAACAAAGCCAAAGATCTTGGAAATAATGTTACAGAGTCGCCTTTTGTGAAGCTCTTAGAAGAGATAAAGGTAAAGAATGACATAATAAATGAGAAGAAAATAGAGATATTTGAGAAATCTTATCTTCAAGAGGAACGAAGGATTGAAAATGAAGAAATGAGAGAGGAACGAAGGATTGAAAATGAAGAAAGAAGAGAGGAACGAAGGCTTGCATTAGAGGAAAAGAGAGAGGAAGAGAGAATCATGTCAATGGATACAAGTAATATGCCTCCATTGCAAGCACAATATATTCGCCAACGTCAAATGCAAATCCTTGAAAAAAGGAATTAATTGTTTTTATTTAGCTTTGAAACTATGTTTTTTATTTAATTTAAGTTTGACTGTATTTTATTTTTTGGTTTGCTGGCACATTTGTTTTTGATGTGCAGAATTTTAGTGCTTTGACTTGGATTTAGAGTTGGGTTTGTTTCAAATTTTGCTAGTTGAAATCTGAAATGGAGACAGACTTGTTGGGTTTGAATTCTTGTTGGATTTTAGTGCTTTGACTTTGAAATGGAGACAGACTTTTTATATTTTGGATGTCCGTTCAAGTCTTGGATTTAAAAATTAATGAGAGATGTAAAGAAAGATTAAGAATTCTCCGAATTCAACTTAATGGGGTCTTTCATTCACTTATTCTTTTGTTCTTTTTATGGCCAATAATAAGTTTGATTGTATTCCAAAAATAAGTTAGGGATTTATTCATAGAAAAAATTTGTTATAAGTATCACTAAAGATCATAGATTAAAAACAAATCACTAGTGATATATTATTGAAAGCACATAAAGTAGTACAAATATTTTTGAAAACACACTCACTAAAGCATAGAAGCTAGTACAGAAATCAATAAGAACCAACTAGTATTTCTCACAAGGAGTCTCCATGTAGTGTCCACAAGTGTTCGACCAAGTCTTGTTTGAGTTTGGAGTGAGTTCCTCTATCTCTGATGCGATAATGATTTTGAATGAATTCAAAAAGTTCTGGTGTACGCTCATGAGACACTGGTGGAAAACTTTCACTAATTGTATCATAATTAAAGTCCAATCCATTGGCATCCCTCTCATCTTCAACAATCATGTTATGCATTATTATGCATGCCATCATAATATCTTCCATTATTTCCATTTTCCAAAAACGTGCAGGTCTTCGCACAATCGCGAAACGTGCTTGGAGCACACCAAATGCTCGCTCAACATCCTTCCTTGCCGATTCTTGAGCTTTTGCAAAATATATTTGTTTATTCCCTTGTGAAGATGAGATTGTTTTGACAAATGTTGCCCATTGCGGATATATACCATCAGCAAGATAGTATCCCATTGTATAATCATTTCCATTAATTGAGTAATTGACTGGAGGAGCATGACCTTGAGTAAGGAGTGAAAATACAGAAGAACGATCTAATACATTGATGCCGTTATGAGATCCGGGCATCCCAAAAAAGGCATGCCATATCCATAAATCTTGAGAAGCCACAGCCTCTAAAATAATAGTTGGTTCATGGATGTGACCAGAATACATACCTTTCCGTGCAGTAGGACAATTTTTCCACTTCCAATGCATACAATCAATGCTCCCTAACATACCAGGAAACCCGCGATTGCTTCCCATCGCTAATAATCTTGAAATATCATCGTTGTTAGGGCTCCTCAAGTACATCTCAGAAAACATTGCAACCACACCTTAACAAAGTGTTTTAGACTCTCTATGGCGGTGCTTTCACCAATTCTTACATAATCATCCACCGAATCTACTGCTACTCCATAAGCGAGCATCCTCATAGCAGCTGTCATTTTTTGAAGGGAAGACAAACCAATGATTCCAACGGCATCTGTTTTCTGGACAAAATATGGATCGTATGCTTCCACTGTAGATAGAATATGAAGAAAAAGAGATCGATTCATCTGGAATCTCCTCCTGCATAAATGGGCAGGATTTATAGCTGTTTCTGAGAAGTAGTCTCGATAAAGTCTCTCATGGCCTTGAACTCGATCGCGATAAATAACTGCATGGCCTTCAATGGAACCACTACGTCTTCTCGAACATCTTTCTCTATTGAGTCGCTCTTCTTCCATTGCAGCTATCATTATTAGTTGCAATTCATCATCGCCGTCAAAGTCGTTAAGAATCATTTTCATGGTATTGCGAGCCATGATAATTAAAAAATGAATGAAGTTGACAAATATAGTTCAAATTGGTAAAAATGAAAGAGCAAATCCTTTTTATAAACAAAAATATATGACCGTTAGGAATATGTTCGTTAAAGAATATTACCGTTAAAGAATATTACCGTTTGAAAATATGACCGTTGAGATAATATGATTATTTGAAAATATTTTTTTATAAATAATTTAATTATATCTTTTGAATAAAAAAAATATTTGCAAATGCCACGTCAATATATCCAGCATGTTATAAAAAGATTATTTATTTATTTATTAATGTTTATAATAGTTTTTTTTAAAAAATTAATTAAGTTAGTTTGATTGGTTAGCTAAAATAAAGAGTATGGTTGGAATGTACACTAGCTAAACTAGTTAGGCAAAATAAAGAAAGTAGTTTTATGTGTACTTTGAAGAGGCATTTTAGAGAGCATGGTTGGAGATGTTCTTAGCCATTAAAGCTAAGTTATTTGGTTTTATCTATATTCACTTGATAATTTCATAGTAAACACGTGTCAAACCTTTACACAAATACTTGACACATTTTTTTAGCATTATTAATGAAATGTATAGTGTAATTTTTTTTTCTTTTTTTTTTTCATAATTACAACATGTTATTTTTTTAATAAGAATTTATATTTGTTTTAGATATTATTTTAATATACAAATTATTTTTTACAATGTAATTTTTTTTTTCTCTTTTTTTTTTCACAATTGCAACTTGTTATTTTTTAATAAGAATTTATATTTGTTTTAAATATTTTTTTAATATAGAAATTATTTTTTTTTTTAGATATTTTTTTAATATATAAATTATTTTTTACGGTATAATTTTTTTTCTCTTTTTTTTAGCAATTGTAACCTATTATTTGTTTTAGATATTTTTTTAATATATAAATTATTTTTTTTAGATTTTTTATAAAAATAATTTAACAATCTCATAACTAACTATATTGTATAAGAGAAGTCAAAAAATATTGTGAGTTAAGAGAAATCAATAAATGATGAGATTTTTTTTTGTAAATCAAAAATTTTAAGATTAAAATTGAAATATTGAAACTCCTATAAAACTTGTGAATTAGAAACTCCCTTTTCATTATATAATATATAGATGGATTACATTGACACACTCATGAGGGTTCTCATTAATTCACATTAGTACCTTGTAGTTTTAAAAATTATATTATCCTCGTTGAAGTTGATTACAAAAACCTGTCTTTATTGGTTGACACAGATTTTGCTTACATCAACAATTAATTTGTAAAAAAACATTTCTCTTTTAGGTTTTTATTGACCCTTGAACCATTTATTTATTTTATTTTATTTTTGAGATATTTGCTAAGAAATCCAACTTAAGGAGTGTCTAAAATATTAGGTTCAATAGACATTTTTATGTTAGTGAAAAATTCACTATTTATAAAATAGTTTGTTGAAAAATTTTATTTATTTTGAAGGATATTTTGTTTTTAATTTTATTTCTTAATTTATATGTTGATTTTTTTTTGAATATCTGTTTAAATTATTTTTTCTCTATTCAAATTTGTTTGACTGTTTGTTCAAATTTATATTTATCTGTTGAATTTTTTTCCTTATCTTTTCAAATTATGTAAGTTTTTGTCTCTATCCATTCAAATTCTATAAGTTTCTCTTTGTTCTTATTTGTTGAAACAAAATCTTTTGAAATATGTGTTTAAATTGTATTATCCGTCCAAAAAAAAAATTAGAACATCAACAAGAAAAAGCAAGATCCCACCAAAAAAATTGAACATATCAAATTCTCATATGGGGAGAAAGGAGAGTGATCTGTTGAAAAAAACCACGCCGCTACCTGTTGCAATGAACCAAAAAAAAAAAACAGATAGTTCCGAAAAAAATGAAGCACCAATCGACAATATTTTTCAAACTCAGTAATCTAAGCCGAGACGAAGACGATGATCTAGGCCAGATCTGGTAGTCAACAAACTCAGTGATTTTTCAAGCTTGTTAATGGCTTCGAATCAAATGATGACAATGACGATGACAATGAAAAAGATGAACGACCGAAATGAAGACGACGACCAGATCTAACCTGAGACAAAGATGATGATGCAACAATGTCTATGTGAGGCAGTGCGTAATAGGGACTCTCTATCACTCGAAGAGAGATCTCGGCGAAATCAATTCCCTCTGATCTCTTAAATAAGTGGTAGCAAAGGGAGCTCCGGTCATTTGGTCGAAGATTCGGTGGCGATGACTGCGGAGAAAAAGACGAAGTGAAAGATGAGTAGGACATCGATGACACTATGGCACGCCCACCAAAATGACTCTGCCGCCATGCGGAAGCTCTTGGAGAAGGATTATGATAATCGCACTTCGCTTGGCGATAAAGACGATGTTGGTTGCTGATGAGAGAGAGAGAATAGAGAGAAAGAGAGAAAGTTTGACCTTCTGCGCTGGCGATGCCTACGTATGGCGGTGGCAGTGGGTTCAATGGCTGTGAGGGAGAGAGAGAGTGAGAGAAAGGTTTGATCCGAGGAGACAGAGACAGATACATCTAAGGCCCCGTTTGTTTTGGATGTTGGAGATGAAATGGGATTAGAATAGTGGTGGGGTCCACTTAATGTTCTGTTTGTTTGTAGAGTTCAACAACAGATTGATAAGCAGGAGGCTTGAAGATGGGCCTTGCATACAGGTTTCATAGTTTGCCCCAACGCATGGTATTGAAAATTTAGTCCGTTGGTATTAGGGGGGTGATTACTTATTTACCCATCGTTGCCCTAGCTCATCCTTAGAAGAAACAGCAGAAGGAGGAAGGAGAAGCAAAGAGAAGCTCTCATCTTCTTCATCAGATTTTCGATCTGAAAGATTCAGTCTGCCTTACTCATCCTTGAAAGCAACAACAGCAAGAAGGAGAGGCAACAAGAAGCTCCATTCTCTTCTTCACAGTGTGCCCTAGCTCTCTCTCATCTTCAGATTTTCAATCTTCAGATTCAGTAAAGCATCTGCAGTATCGGTAATTTTTTTTTTTGGTTAAGCAAGTTATTATTAACTTGGTGCTTGGAATTGGGTTTTGTTTCAAATTGGGTTATGTTGCATCTGCTTCAAATTGGGTTTTGTTTTTTTGTTTTTCTTGCATTTGGGGTTTGAATGATATATTTTTTACACATTTGGGGTTTTGATTGTTGGTAATTGCTGGCAATGTGCAATTTTATTTTAATGAAAAAAGTACAGCAACCAAATAATGAGCAAATACTCAATTGTTAATTGCAATAGATTTTCTTATCTGCACAATAATAATCAAACCCATCAGAAGATTGGTTCAGACATCCAACTGGCCAAATTTTTGACGATGAAAATATGGAAATCCTCTTTAATTAACTGGCTGTCTAGATGACTTTTCAAAAGAGAGAAGAAAAAAAGCTGTCTAGATCATTTTCCATTAATATTCTTGTCTTAAAAAAATTTAATCTGTGACAACATCAGCAAAAATTCATATACCTCCACCTCTTTAGTAGGTACTTGTATAAAAAGTTTCGAAATTACCTTTTTTGACCTATGCATGCTGCAGTTGTCAATAGTGGATTTATATGAATCCCAATGTTCTTTTGCCATTGTGCTTAACATATTGAGTTGGATTTCAAGTGCTGAATTTGCCTCTGATAACTTTCTCCAAGTTTCCAGAGCCTTTTGAGGCTCAGATTTTTGCCACTTCTTGATAGCACCCACCATTGATATTGTGGATGATCCTCCAGCTCTTGGTTCTCCTAGTAACTCCATATGCATCACAATCACTAATAATAACCAATAAAGAAACTGTGTTCCCATGGTTTCCAGGGAACATAAAGAAGCTCTTACCAAGTGTATACCATTTTTTCAAAAAATGGAAAAAATAAAAAGTTGTATAGAAAATAAAGAGTGTTGGTTAAGTCAAAGTCTTATATGTTTCACGTCTGGCCAGTGGGGTCCTAATGAGAAAGTTGCTCTGATTAACAAAATATGTTAGGAAAGGGAAGTTGCATTTTGTCATCTTAGTGCCATATAACATATCCAAGTCTGCCAATGAGTATGGATATGAATATGTATCAAGTATGGTAAATGTTAATATAATCACAATTAGGTTATTTCCCTGCCAACACCCTCTATCCCTAGCCAACACCCTAAAATCCTGAATTGACAAGAGCACAATTAGGTTATTGCCTTCTCAAGGGAAGAGGTCAGTGACTAATAATTAAATTAATAGTCATTGAAAGTTTCAAATTTAATTACATAGTTTCAAACTTTAACATTATGGAATGTGTTTCTCATGAAATGAACTACATACATTCCATGTTTTCCTCATTCTAATACAACTAATAAAAGAGTATGAGAATGGAATATTCAAATAATGGGTTTGTATCATTCTTGTAAGAAAAAGACCATTCTTGTAAGAAACTGCCCCTTTTTTTCTTGAGTAAAAGCAGGGAACATATT